AACATAAAAGAATTCTTCGTGTAAACACTTTAACGCTCATATGCATATTATAGAATAATAAGCATAATATCAAATAATAATTACTAACTACTCAAGAAAGATCCACGTTATTTTCGTCTCCCTATGAGACATTACTAATTCATTAAGTCAGGTATTAAATAAAATACTGTCTATAGTTTACGCGAGTAGTACACATTTAAATAAAACACTTTAACGGTTCGCGACTCTTAGTTAATCTTATTTGAAAATTATTTTTTAACTTCGGCCCGATGTTTCGTGACCAGGGCTCTGCACCCCCCCGAAACGTCGGGCCGAAGTTAAAAAGATCATTTTAAAATAAGTCTAACTAATATATCGCGTTTTAAACCGTTTAAGTGTTTTATTTAAAACAGGTATTATATTTTTAAACATAATACCTATATATATTTTTTACTTATCTTAAGTATATCAGTAAAAACCTTGCTTAAACGTAGAAAATTTTAGAATACAAGGAAAATCCTTGAGGAAAAAGGAAACTATCTACGTTTCTTTTTTTGTAATATCCTCTATAAGTTTTTTAATTGTTTCACGTACAGATTCTTTGGCATGTAGTTTACATTGAAAGTAACATATAATGTTTTTGGTTCATAGATGTTATACAATCGGCGTACAAATAAAGTGATTGCGACATTATAACCTGTATATTGTGGGTTCGAGGTTCTGTGACATATTTTTTCGTTTATATTTTTATATAATAATATATAAGACTGAAGAGTTTGTTCGATTGTTGTTAATTAAGCACTACACGTTCGAATTGAATTTAGCTGCGACCAGAAAGAGCGACGTAACAGACGAAAATGTGTAAAATTTACGACGATTTATATATTTGAGGGATTACGTTGCGTGCGCTACGAAAACGATTCGAGAAACCGAAAAATTATTTACGAACAAATTAACCTTCTTTAAAGATTTACTAGAAAGAACGACGTGGATGAAGTCATGGATAACAGCCGTAAATAAAGCTGAGTTTGCAAAAATCCACGTGGACGAAGTCGCGGACCCAGCTAGCGTTAACATAAATGCGTAAATACCAGATACGTATTGGATATTTCAATTAGGATGACTTGATCACATGGAGGTAACACATGATTGCCGCATAATATGAATAGCAAATATTATTGGTTCTACTCGTGTCCTTGGTTGTCCCTATGACTATAACAACCTTATGACGAATACTAAGTTATACAGAAATACAAATGTATCTTATATCAGTAGGTACTATTTTAAGTTATAAGCTAAAAAAAACTAATTATACTCAGTGTTTTTTTGATGAATGAGATTTTTATTTTATCTAAGGTCCAAACGTCTAAACATCCTATATGTTATATTGAAATCGGATGTCAGTGAAAAAAGTTACACCCGTTCGAAGTCTTTGCATGAGATGCATATGTTGTATCTGATTGTTTTGTATCTTATTCATTTCATCAGAAAAACATTTATTCAAAGTACTCTTTCTTCCACATTCATAAAAACGTGAGCAAAGAAATGAATTATTGAAGAGGGTGTGCGAAAATAACAACAACAACAAATAATTTGTTCAATAACGTGAACACAATAAATCGATATATTTGCTACTTAAAACTCTAAACATGCCATCAACATACGTAGATATAATATTCGAATTGCTCACTACTGTATCATGTTTTCGATTGTTCTAGAAGTTTAGATAAAATTAACCACATAACAATAGAATATAAAAAAACTATTATTCCAACACCATAAAAACCTAATATTCTCAATTATCCACCAAAATTTATTACGGCTAATTAATAACCCCATTTAGTAGTCGTTGTGTGAATAAAATAGTACAGACTGGACATAACAATAACTACTTAGTATTCTGTGTTTGAGGGTATAACTACGGTGTTATCATACAGTGACTAACGAATAAGTACGGGAGTAGAATTTTAAAGATTGACGTCATGATATATAGTTTTTTTTTGTCCTCAAACGGTTTGACAAGTACTTATTCACTACGATTAAGTACTTACCCGCATATCTGTACTAATATTATAGACCTGAAGAGTTCGTCTGTTTGAACGCACTAATATCAGAAACTACTGCTTCAAATTGAAAAGTAGGCTATGAAACATCAGACTACCACCAATAGGAGCAAACAATGGAAAATATGGAGAATGTTTAATCAACACACCAAAAATATGTAAAAAAATAAAAAAAATATCCGCAATAAAATATGTTTAACTTTTAAGATTAACTTGGTTTTATGGTTATCAAATGTGGTCTAGATACCTTATATGGTAAAAAAACGTTAGCCAGGTCAGCTTAGCGGTTATTCATAACACTAGAAGTGATCAATCATATTAGGTAGTATATTTTCAATAATTTTGTTTGCTTACCGTAATATAATACTTGTAAGGCATTAGAAAAATTGGATGTTACATAAGAGATTCCAAAAAGATCTTAACTGACTATGAATCATCAGGTCTCCAATACCATACGTCTAGAGCACAAATTATAAGATCTGGTTACTACTAGGTACTTCTGTTGGGCCATTTTTAAAACCTCTAAAACTATATTTACTGCAGTTCGTTGTAGCAAATTCCGTGAGGTAGGTCGCTAACAATTTTCGCCGGCCATGACATATTATGATTAGGACTAATTTACAGAAAACACAACAGTTTTAATGAAGGACATTTTAGTGTCATTATGTAGGGCAACTATGTTAGTTTTCTAGATTTTTCTTTATGATAATAATAATATAAGGCATATAACATTTAAACGAGATGTGCCGTCGACTCATTAGGCCTTTGGATATTTTGAAATCCACAGACTAAAACCAAAACCCGATTAAACTTTACGGCTTATCATCTGTGGACGGTGAATCGTGACCCGGTAGGAATGTCGATAAACCTGCCTAAACCCAACCAATCCAACCCCTGCTTTTTAATATCCAAAAGTCCAACATGCTTCAGAAAAATTATACATTTATTGGACAAATGTTGGACCCATTGGGGATCGCATCTACCCTTTGATAATTACTTACTTTGCTGCCATTTCACCAACGAAGATCAAGGTAACTAGAATGCTGGTGACGTCGTATACTCTATGTCTATTTAAATACTGTCTGTAGTTTATGTCTATTTTCTTTTTATCTACGACGTAGCTTCGCTTTGCGTAGCGTGCTGTACTTACGACAGAAAATAAAGATTACATATATAAAAGCTCGGAAGACGTGGTGACTGATGGTGATAAAAAATTAAACAATTGAAGGCTATTATGTTCGTTTAGTAAGATTTTTTTAATGAAAAAGCTGTACAGCAAGCGTGCATGAATGTTTTGTTAACACCAATGAGGTGGTACCTGCGTCCCAGGTAATTTTACGTAGGTACTCGAAATACAACTAACAAAGTTATTGTGCAGTGTAGGTTTATATACTAATGAATGTAGCAAATAAATTATAGACAAATAAATACATTATTTTGAAAGCATATTTATTGTGAATAATGAGAAAGCAATTTTTATTTAATTCATATATTTTTTTTATTGGAATTAGTAGTTCCTGCGTATAGCGCGTTAAAACAAACAAAAAACCGTGTCAGGCCGGTCGAAACGTCGGGCCGAAGTTAAAAATAATTTTCAAATAAGTTTAACTAGAATATATTCCGTTTTAAACCGTAAAGTGTTTTATTTAACTGTGTATTACTCGCGTAATCTACAGACGGTATTTAACGTCGTCAGTTTTTAAAACTAGTACTTATAGATTATACATGTAATTTTTTATATTCCACTTTGAATGTATATAGTACAGCATATATAATACTAGAACAGACTTTCTTTGAAAGCGTCTCCCTTTCATTGGCTTTCTAGCATTGTCCTTTCTAAGTGAATGGAAAAAACTATAAGTAGGTACCATATGCTAAAATCAATGAAATTAAAACCAGTTTAATCTTATGTCGAATTGTGATCGTGGTCTTCTAGATCGCTGTGTAGGTGTTTGTTAATTAATTATGGGTGAAAGCAAATTCAGAGAAGCTAATTTAAATAATGTACGTACACAATTCAATTAAACTATTCCTCTTTTCCGTTTCGAATAAACGCGTGGAAACGAAACTGCTTCATTTCCCGAGCGGAATTACCTAATGAAAATTGAGATAAAAACAAGATGTTTCACACTGATAAAGCGTAAATAACGTATGTCTTAAATAAATATTCTTTAGTTCTTTATTTGTACACCTTTGTATTTTATCACCTTCAGTATTTATGATTTTTTTTACATTTATATTATGCTATAGTTACAAAGGAGTCTAGGAAATACTATTTCAATACCAATATTATTAGTGTTTAAACTCACGAAGCACTGTAGTCAAATGTAAATGAAAAAAGTAAATACCATAATGTGATAAACACGTTTATTTCACGTCAAACATCTCGTTTGTCTACATACAAACACACAGTTATACATGCGTATTATATGCTAAAATATATCATAGTCAACTATAATTATAAATATTATGATGATATGATATTAGATAATATATTAAAAAATTGGCTTCGCCATTTTTGACGGATTCTTGACGGAAAACAGCTGCTACACAATAACTTAAATAAGAAATCATTGGTCTCTTTCCTTACATTACTTTGCGTATCCGTACAATATTGGATTACATCTCTCAGTTTAAAATTGTTGGAATATTTGTCGTGAGATTTGGCAACACGTCCCCGACCTTTTGTTTCGTTATAAACAGTGACACGACTCGTCTTCAACACGTTTCTGAGCTCTGACCCGATACGCAAAGGCCACTGAATAGTTATTATACATCTAAACTAAATATACAAACGAAATATACAAAGCTATCTACATTGCGTATTATCATTATCACTGAGACCGTGAGGTCAAGGTAACTTGTTAATTTTTGGTAATGTCACACGTTCGACCCAGCGTCAATAAATAAACACGGTTGTGTCAACGCCTTTCTAGCAAACCATACTTAAATTACATACTAAACTAAGAGATGAGCAACTGCCAGTAATAATAAAGACGCAGCGAGCTTTGGAATAGAACCGGCACCGTGCTGGCCGTGTCCGCCGGGCGGCATCAAGTCCTCTCCGTAAATGTAGCTTTTCAAACCAGTGTGAGACCTTAAAATTCTATAGTTCACTTCTTCAATAGAAACTTGATTTTTTACAAAGTTGTACAATCTGTTGACGACGACGTAAACGTTGCCACGGTCATCGAAAGTGAAACGGTCCGCCCACTGAATATAATTTGGATCGCGGGCAATCGTACGTTGACCGGCACGAAAGTCAACTGTGCTGTTCCATTCGGCGATGGTCGAGTTGCCAATGAGACCGTAAAAGAGTATGCCGGTCGAGTCCATCTTCATGCCATCTGTTTGCGAAGATTTCGTACCTAAGTCCACTACGTAAGGGCGAATCGCTCCTTCGCTTCTTTCACCGAGAGACTCGTTTCTCAATACTGACGCGTTTATAGCAAACAGATGAAAACTGGCTAACGGGCAGTAGTAAACAGTGCGGTCGATGCTATCGTCTTCGGCGCGAAATTGCGGTCCAAGTGCGATTCCATCCACATTAACTGGAAGGTTTACCGTAGTGCCATTGATGCGGAAAAGTGTGGCTTCCGGAACTGATGACATTGACCGCTTATCGCGTAACTTCCATATCTTTTTATCATCTCTTCGAAAAACGATTATACCTGGATCGACAGCGCTGTTGTCTGTTATATATGCGTAGTCTCCGTCTCGGTTGTCCACTACGAGGTCATTCAAATAAGTCGTGTTAGGGTTCACTATCTCCGCAGGCAATGGGATGCGCTCCATTTCGTTTTTCCCCGTTTTTAAATCAATCAAAACGATCGACGGAGGGCATTTTGGGTCAGGTGTTTGGGTGAGAGTTCCTATACGCCCGTTGTCCAATATCCACATGATACCGTTCCGGTCTATCTCGATATTTTGCACAAATTGAAGGGATTCGCAATCGCCAACTTTATTCTGAGCCCAACTTGGGAAAGGTTTGAGTTTTGGAGCCGTAGTCTCGTTTTGAAATGCGGGGATCATCGCTAAAGTTGCGGGCACGCCGTTGAGCATTCTCGGTAACGTTAGAAACAGATTGTCCCCGTGGAAATTAATGCCTGATATTATGACATTTTGTGGGATATAGTTACTATTGTTCAGGTAAGTTTCACGTTCTTCGGGGGATCCCCACTCGAAATCGATGAAGCGCCATTCGTAAATCACTCGAAACTGTTCCCGGTGCGGGGTGATCGATTTGGGTGACTTCTCATTTTGTGCCGCGGCAGCAGCCACGATGGCGAAGAGGACCAGCAGCATGGTCGTCAGCGCGGTATTAGGAGCGTGTATCGCGGTCGGCGCATGCAATGCGACTGACGGTTGAAGACGGAGCTCTGCGTGACTTGGGACCCTGTTGCGTTTGTCACCGGCCTACGTCATTATTCATTAATGATGTGACGATTAATAAATTACATGTAGGGATTATCGCAAAACTCCTGAGACATTCACACGCGAGTGCCTCCAGCGAAATCTATTACGTTTATGCAAATACAAATGAACAAGGGTGCACCAAGGACGTCCGTCTCACCCTAACGTAGGGTCCGTCTAGCCGTTTATGTATAAGTGTAGCTACCCGGAATCGATCCCGGCTTTGGTAGCTTTCTAAGCATCTAATGTTTTATAAAAATGGACCTAGTGTACTGAAGATTAGGACGCACTTAGTAATAAACTTTGAGTCGATCTCTTTCGATAGCAGTGCTTTCTGATTTAAAAGCTCATATTATTGACATTGAATATATTATACCGATAAGAGTCACTATATAATAGTTATAGAATAGTATACAGCACTTATTACTACTAAATAAATCATCAAAAATCGTGGGAACAGCGGCCTAAAAACAAGGCCACTGCTACTGTAATAGAATAAAATATCTTTAAAATTATAACAATTATTCCCATTACTTCCAATCGTAATAATTATTCCTACCTACCTAATTTCTTAACAAACTTATTTAAATACTCAATTAATCTGCCTATCAATGTTGTTTACTGTGTTGGTACCTTAAAAATATCAATACGAAATAATTTTGTCTTTATGTTTTACTACATTATGGCACATTGAATTTTAAACTTACTTCCATTGTAAGACAATAAGATGAATATGGGAGTCTGTTATGAGTCATAGCGTTGGAATGTTGATGCTAGGAATAAGCTAATATGTATATGTATGGGATTTGAAGTCACTATTTCGGCTAATAATTACTTATTATTTCGACGGTGCGACTACGGTGACGTAAGTAAAAATTCAAAAGTAGGATCAAAGTCATCTGGCATTCACAATTCAATATACACTATGACCTCAATGAATGGTATTGCAAAACCATAAACGGATTACGTTTTATTATAATTTGACCTTTATCAAGTGGTGTAAGGGATCTTATACACCTAGCGATTGGTCGAACGCATGTTTGCGTTACTTTACATAATAACATTATCTGTAGATTACGCGAGTAGTACGCCTTTCAAATAAAACACATTTAACGCTTAGAAACACTAAAATATTAAAAACTGTCTGTAGTTTACGCAAGTAGGACACATTTAAAATAACACTTCAACGGCGAAATATATTAGTTAAACCTATTTGAAACTTATTAAAATATAACTAATGTATTTCGCATTTAAAACCGTTAATGTATTTTACTAAAATGTTAGTAAACTCATTCTTGGTTTTTTCTTACTATGTTTCGATATCAGCTGCCGTGGTCAACTGAAACTGACCCTTAATGTCAATATCAAATCTGCTACGCTACCGCCATCTGTTGCTTTGTAATTGGTATTTGGACAAAAACGGGCTGGGTCCGTACAACTTCTAAAATTATTAATTACTCGTATAAGGAATTGGTACTTGAAAGCTGTTTTGTTTAACCGTTAAAAGTTTATTTTTTAAAATCTCATACGTATAATAATTTCGTACGACCGGACTGATCTTATTGTGGTAGAACGCTTAGTGTATACAGGACCCTTTAAGCATGCATCGTTAGTATTTATTTTGAGACGTCTTGCAACTGACGAGGAAGGGTCTTCCGAAGATGTGCTTTGGAAATATATCATTTAATGGCATCCCGAGGTAAGGGATTTCTTACCTCTTAGCAATAATGTTAGGTTTTAAAAGCTAATTTATACGGGTAAGTCTCATAAGTACATAATATGTATAAAATATAAATAAAATTTAGTTTTATTAACTGGAAACACATTAATAAGCATTTAGCTGCATAGACAAATACTATCGTTCTCAATCAGAAGAAATCTCATATTGGCTGGTAACGAAGACTAATTTTAGAAGATACAAGAAAATATGCAGTAAAACTTGCCCATATCATCATAGTCAATTCAAATAAATCTAATGTTTTAACCTTCGTAATAGAAGCTTCGCAATCGGAATGAGGAAGTTTATTGATGATACTTAAAAATACAATCAATTTCAAAGCACAAAAAATAAACTGTGCCGTAGAGCTCTTTATAACCTGTATTTTTCGTATAAATAGAGTCTGTTGTAAATGCCCGTGTCCGTGGGTCAATGACTAAACGCTTTGTATGCAATGTCTAGATGTGAGAGACCCTGGGTTTGAATCTAAATGAAAAGAAATATTTCGTATATGTCATATCCCTTTGCAGAAATGTGGTATAGAAAAGTCTGTACCATTACCTAAACAACTTATAAGGAAACATTTAAAACTACATAAAATTTATAAATTAAAAATAAGTACATATTTAACTTTGCAGTAGTAATATTATTTTGTGTTTCAAGTTGGTTTTCCGTTGACTCTCCTATTGAGTGTGGACACCTGTGCCACAGATATTTAACAAAAATTATGAAAAAAGTAATAGTATAGACATGGCAACACTATAATATAAAACAATATAGCAACACTAGCTGTGTTCAGCGTAGGACTTCGTCCGCTAAGTAGGATTTTGGGAATGTTTATATTTCACAAACTTAAGCTGTCACCCACGACGTCGGTCGCGGAGCTTCCCATCGTTCTCGCGAAGTCAATCTTAAAAGATAGACATATAGCGTCGCGGACTTTTATTTAGAACATTTTAAGAGTAATCGTTCTTTCATACATATTTTCAGGGTATCTTGAACCGGTTTGACCGATTGAACGCCTCGGAAACCCATAATAATGAATAATTTTCCCAATTTTGTTCACATTTCTCGCTGCATCTTCGCTTGTATTAGAGTCACAGCTGTTTTATAGCCTTCCTCGATAAATGCTTTAACCAACATATATTTTTTTTCAATTCGAACCCGTACGAGATTAGCGCGTTCAGACAAAAAACAAACAAACTCTTCAGGTTTATATATAAGTATAGATACGTATGATTTAGTTTTGAGACAACAATAATGTAACGGTATTGATAACAAGCAACATATTGCAAAAATCGGAAGTAACTTCTTTCGTATTTCGTTTATTTCCTGGCAGCGGACTACGCAGCGCACGCAACGCTTTTGCAATATTACGGCGAAACTGTACTATTTACAAAATTCTACACGAAGGAGAAATTTGAAGGTCGACTATTGTATTAATATCTACTGTCCTTGTTTTTTTATCTTTTCCAATTTGTACTCAATCATGCTACCAATATCCCCTTAAAGACTGTGAAATGAAAAGTATGAACACATAAATATTTGATAATATCAAATATGTATACTATAAAAAAAATCTGCAAAAGGTATGTAGGTAGGTGCCAAAGTTGGGTTTGCTTTTTTGAGTGACTATTGTGCAGAAGAGCTGGTCTAAGGGCTTGAATATAAAATAAATACATTTGTACAAAACTCCACTAATATCGTTTTTATTAAAGTGTGAAGCCCTCCACTAGAATGGGTTGTAATATTTTATTTTTAAGAAGGAAATTGTTGTCTTTTAAGAAAATTATGAAAATTAGATAAAGTTAAAGGAAAGCAGTATTTACTGAAGCTGGAAAGCAACGTATACTCCTTTCCAACTTTTTCAGCTTTCATGCATTTGCTATTACAGTGAAGCTTGCAGTTTACAGGTCGTGCGGTCTTAAGGGAGGAGCCCTACGTAGTCAGTAAAGTGCATATCAAAGGATAGGCTAATAAGAAATTTCCCTTTGCGGTTTGAACACTTCTAATGGGGAATATGCTAAAATAAATAAGGTAGTAGAGTTTCAATAAAAAATTCATATGCAGCATTAAAACCACCACGAACAACCACTAAACAATACATGTAAAAAAAGTAAAAAATGATTGGCAGTTAAAATATGCATTACAATAAGGTTATTCATTTATAGGCACAGCATTTTAATTAAGAGGTGTAAACTTTTCATAATAAAATGCCTTTAATTGTCCAACATTTCCAAAATAGTAAGGAATCCCTTCTACATTATATCATGAACAAAGATACGATTCAATGAAAAAGTATCAAAATGAAATCTCAAGTTATTTTAGTTTGCGACGTCTCGTATGCAATACTAGTACTAACAAGATATGATATTATTATAACTCCGTCTATAGAAACATACGATGTCAAATCAACTTGTAACTACTACTACATAGATGTCACTGGTATCAAGTATTTTAAATAGGTAACAAAAACCACAGAATATAATTATTAATTAATGTTTTAAATGTTATTCAGAATTAAGTCATGATATATGCACTCCTTTCCTATAATAAAACTATGTTAATGTGATATAATTAATACGCAATAATTGTACTATTATTTCTTTATGTTTACCATCTCCCGTATGGTCTAGTGGCTAGGATACCTGGCTTTCACCCAGGAGGCTCGGGTTCGATTCCCGGTACGGGAAATCTTTTTTGCTTAGGTATTTATTTTTATAGCAGCATTAAGTTTCTATATACTTCGTAATGTTGTTACTTTAATGTGAATATAAATACACTACTACTTAATCGATAAAATTAATTTTAACTACGGCCCCGATGCTTTGCAACAGTCGTGGTCATGGGGGACTAGTCTTTGATAAACTTTTAGTTTATCAAAGACTTGCCTTGCCCCAGGCCTTGCATAAATAATGGCATTTGAGCAAATGTGTTGGAAAATGAGAACATTTTTCTAGTCTAGTCCATTTTCTTCGAGTGAATAAACTGTATACATTATACGAAACTGTAATGTCATAATGTTTAGACTTTGTTTGAGTTTAGACACGGAAATCCAAATTTCCTGAGTATATTTTTACAACATAATTTCATTTGTTTTATTATGTTATATCTCTTAATATAATCTATCAATTATAAGTTTATACATGCATGTATGTCTTTGTGTTCTTTTTCGCTTAGTATAGTATGTATGTATATATTTTTTGAGATTTAATGAAACTGCAAAAGCTGAGTGGGGATTGGGGAAATGGGAGATATAGTCCGCAAGTCTTTTGGGACTTATAACCCGGCCTTCAGTCGGTGTCCTAAATGGACAATAATAACCAAATCACCAATAACAACGATCAAACAAACAAAGAGACTGATAGTGATTCAATTTTTATAATAGAATAAAAGTCTTATTGTTAATTGAATCCGCAACGAACGGAATGTGAAACGGGCCTAACCAATTCGTTACGGCGATAGAGTTTAATCTATTCATAGGACCGGTAACAATCATTTGTCTGTCGCGTGACAGACTAGGTATATTTAGTTCGTTCAAAGGTCATTTGTTTTCATTTTGAAACTCACTTTTCGAAGGATTGTAACTACTGAAGTTGACGGATCTATATGTTAACGTAACTTGAGAACTAATTTCGACTGCAATTAATATAATTTATACAAATGATTACGGACTCATTGTCAAAAAAGCAATCTGCGCTCCTCTATACTAATATAAACAAGCTGAAGAGTTGGTTTGTTTGCTCGCGTTAATCTTACGAAGTAGTGGTTCGGATTGATTCTGTTCTGCTCAGAGCATTTATCATATTTAGAGTATATATAGCGATAAATGCTTGATACATCGTGCTACAATCAATAGGAGCAAGAAATAGTCGGAAATATAAAAAAGACAGGAAAAAATTATACGTCTTTGGGGATTTCCGTTGCGTGCTCTACGAAAACGATTCAAAATACCCAAAAGATATGTATGAAAGAATGATTCCTCTTTACCATGTA